GGAATCAGGTGAATGTCTTGAAAGACCTACTTTGGCTCCCAGTACATTTCCGAGCACAATTCGAAGTGTTGGTGTTGACCTTTAAAGCCCTTAACAGCCTCAGCCCAATATACCTGAAGGAGCGTCTCCACCCCCATCGTTCTGCCTGGACGCTGAGGTCCAGCACTGAGGGCCTTCTGGCGGTTCCCTCACTGCGAGAAGCAAAGCTACAGTAGGGAACCAGGCAGAGGGCCTTCTCAGTAGTGGTGTCAGCCCTGTGGAACGCCCTCCCATCAGATATCAAGGTGATAAACAACAACCTGACATTTAGAAGACATCTGAAGGCAGCCCTGTTCAGGGAAATTTTTAATGTGTGACATTGTAATGTATTTTTTATCTTTGTTGGAACCTGCCCAGAGTAGCTGGGGAAACCCAGCCAGATGGGCAGGGTACAAATAATAAATTATTATTATATTATTATTATTGTTCTTGACAAGGTTGCACTCTCCTTGAAGGAGCAAGTTCATAGGCCAAGACTGGTTTTGACTTCTACTGTCACTGGAGCCTCAAGTTTCTTCAATGGCATGAAGAAACTTTTTAACAGTTTGCCAGCCTGGCCTCAGTAATTTATGCTCCAATTCCTGGCAGGACTGCTGCAATAACAGGATCTCCAGTATGGCACCCATGGGCGCAACAACACCCTTAGACTTTTCCTGATGTCCACAAAGTCTCTGCGATCCTCTCGCCACTCCCCCATTTATCATGTGGGGGCGAGGGTAATTATCTTCCCCCCTCTTTAAAATACATGGAACTGTAGTCCAAAGAACGACACTCAGATTTCCCAATTTCTGTTTTGTGATTTATGTGCTTCTCAAGGCTCAAATCAGAAGTGGAGTAACCAAGAGTGGAAAGGGTCAGAGACTAGAGGGTATGGAGCAACTAAGAGGGGGGAGTGGGGTGCTTCGGGGGTGGGCCATGAAAATCTGAGCATCTATGCCTTGATTTGTGGTGCTGGCAAGCACCAGAAGTGATTTTTACAGAGCAGTGCCATATAAAATCATGCAGATTCGAGTGGATCCATTTTAGTGCCACTGGATCACTTTCGCTCAGACCCCATGGAAAGCCCAAGCGTGCACATGTGCACAGATGTGAACCCACTTTCTCTCACCACAGGTGGATGGGGAGAGAAGAAACCATAGATAATGGTGCACATGGTACTTGCTCAAATTTCCCAGTTCCCACAGTATCAAAAAGTTTGGTGACCCTTGCAATGTGCTCTAGAGCAGTGTTTCCCAACCTTGGGCCTCCAGCTGTTTTTGGACTACAACTCCCATCATCCCTAGCTAGCAAGACCAGTGGTCAGGAATGATGGGAATTGTAGTTCAAAAACAGCTGGAGGCCCAAGGTTGGGAAACACTGCTCTAGAGACTACTTGGAAACTGCAGCTATTGCAAATGCAGCAGCACAGCTATTGCATAGAACTGCTAGTAAAGAGTTGCACTGCAGTAGTCCTTCAAGGACAGCACTTTGTGCCAGTATGTTTCCAGTCCAAAGTCAAGGCTTTGTGAGTGACACAGAAAAGCCTGAACAAGTTGGGACCTTCTTACCTGAAGGAGTACCCCACTTTGGCTGGAAGTTAAGCAGCTCCACAGTATAGAGGATGCATCACACAGGTGAGCCTTCTCCGTGGCAACCAGTCTTTGAACTCCCCAACCCTTGAATTTACACTGGCCTATTATGTTGCTGTTGAACAGAGGCTTTTGGAAATTGGTGTTCAGTTGAGAATTATGTCTCCTGTTCTACTTGTTCGTGTGACTTTTATTCTGCGGTACTGTTTTATTGAAGTGACTGTTCCCCAGAGATCTTGAGATTAAGGGGCACAATACAGTATAAGTATTTTAGATCAATATTTAAAGATACCGTTAGGAGCACAGAGAAAAAACACTTATGCACCTACGATGGGATGGCATCAAAGTAAAACAATTCTGCATTGCGGTGTTGGAACTAGTCAGCCAGCTTTTGGCCCCAGACCTGATGTTAACATTGCTCTCAGCTTAAAACAATCGGAATCCCTTGTTGCAGCATAAAGAACTAGTATTGCCAACAGCAGCTCGGATGGAGGCAGCTAGATGGTTGAAGGCCGCAGAAAGGCCCCAAAAAGAAAGGTGGTGGGTCAAATTATACGACGTAGCTTCCTTGGAACACTTAATCCATCAGAAATGTAGCAGAACATGGTCATGTTTGATACGACTGTCATTCATCAGCTTTAATTAACGTCCTATCGGTGCCCAATGGGACGTGGGTGGCACTGTGGGTAAAAGCCTCAGCGCCTAGGGCTTGCCGATCGAAAGGTCGGTGGTTCGAATCCCCGCGGCGGGGTGCGCTCCCGTTGCTCGGTCCCAGCGCCTGCCAACCTAGCAGTTCGAAAGCACCCCCGGGTGCAAGTAGATAAATAGGGACCGCTTACTGGCGGGAAGGTAAACAGCGTTTCCGTGTGCTGCGCTGGCTCGCCAGATGCAGCTTTGTCACGCTGGCCCCGTGACCCGGAAGTGTCTCCAGACAGCGCTGGCCCCCGGCCTCTTAAGTGAGATGGGTGCACAACCCTAGAGTCTGTCAAGACTGGCCCGTACGGGCAGGGGTACCTTTACCTTTACCTGTATCGGTGCCCAATGGGACGTGGGTGGCACTGTGGGTTAAACCAGAGCCTCGGACTTGCTGATCAGAAGGTTGGTGGTTCAAATCCCCGCAACGGGGTGAGCTCCCGTTGCTCAGTCCCTGCTCCTGCCAACCTAGCAGTTTGAAAGCACGTCAAATTGCAAGTAGATAAATAGGTACTGCTCCGGCGGGAAGGTAAACGGCATTTCTGTGCGCTGCTCTTGTTTGCCAGAAGTGGCTGTCATGCTGGCCACATGACCCGGAAGCTGTACACCGGCTCCCTTGGCCAATAAAGCGAGATGAGCGCCACAACCCCAGAGTCGGTCACGACTGGACCTAATGGTCAGGGGTCCCTTTACCTTTTTATCAGTGCCCACTGACTCACATTGTGCTATAGCGGGGATGGCTCTTGGTGAGACCTTTATAGTATTGTTATGAAAATTATGTACTTGGCAATTTCCAGTTGTGCCAAAGCTGGAAATCTTGGTAAGAATTCTGCCATGCTGTTGTTTTCTTAATGTTTTGGCAAAAAAAACCCACCCTAATAAAACTTTGTTTGGGGGGAAAGAGCACACACAACTAAACAACAGGAGAAAACCTTTTTGTTGCTTGTATGCTGCTTCTGTATTGAAACCAAGTGGCTTATGTTAAAACAGACAAGATAAAAAGTTTATATATTGGAATAAAGCCTGGCAGGAATTAGTGCAATTAAAATGACAGCAACATGAAACAAACAATTCCAGCCAATGGAGCTAAACTGAACTGCCAGTGTTATTACGACTGGCACTGGAATAGATGAAGCCTTTGATAAAGCAGTGGTCATAGGTCTTTAAGCCCCTGTGTAGCACAGGTAGTTCCACTGGAGACAGGTCCCATGGTCCCTTGTTATTTTTGGAGCCCCAAAATACCACCATGGTCAAGCATTCTGGGTCAAAGTAGTCACTACATATTGGTGTGGTTTTGTTTTCATGGGGGGGGGGCTTGTAATGTGTGTCAGCTTGCAAATTTAGGACACAATTATTAAACACCGCCCTGAGATTTAAACATTTTTATTGACTAGTTAAAAGCATTTTGTTAATCCATCATTGTATTGTAAACACTGAGATAGTTCAAAACTGTCCTCTCTTATCACTAATCGCATCCCATTAACTGAATGTACTAGATCAGATCCAAGATTATGAATGTCCTGTGCAGTAAGAAGCTAAAATAATTAACTACCAAGAGTAACTTTTCCACTCTCTCACACCTTCCATATACTCTCAGGAACTAGCCAAACTCAGAATAGTACAGCTGGATTATATGCACCATACTGAACAGCTTATTAGATACAAAAGCTTTAAAGCTTGAGGAGGAAGTGATTAAGCATCTCCTGGAATAGTACGCTCAGCTTTGCAGAGTGAAATGCAAGAGAGACTATAGAGAAATTCAGATTCAGATAATCTCTTGAATCATACGCTAGCAGAGTGAAGCTAGGGACCAAGAAGTTATTTATATGAGATCTCCAAAGCCAGAGGAAGTGGCTCAATAAATTTAGTTAACTCAAAACAATGGAAAGTCGGACTATTGGTCCATCCAGCATATCATCAAAACTGAATGGCAGTGGCTGTTGGGTTTCAGACAGGACACTTTCCCCGCCATACCCGATATACAGGGGACTGAACCTGGAACCTGATGCATGCCAAGCACACATCCTACTCCTGACCAAAGGACCTTTCACAGCATAATAATAAAGCCCAAGTAGGGCTGGGGCTTCAAAGTGGACTCATGCAGATTTATAAAAGTATTACTTTGTTTAATGAATTCAAGCTGAATTGGGACTAGCTATTCTGTATCAGAAAGGGATGCGGGTGGCACTGTGGGTAAAAGCCTCAGGGCCGATCGAAACGGCGGCGGTTCGAATCCCCGCGGTGGGGTGCGCTCCCGTTGCTCGGTCCCAGCGCCTGCGAACCTAGCAGTTCGAAAGCACCCCCGGGTGCAAGTAGATAAATAGGGACCGCTTACTGGCGGGAAGGTAAACGGCGTTTCCGTGTGCGGCTCTGGCTCGCCAGAGCAGTGATGTCACGCTGGCCACGTGACCCGGAAGTGTCTCCGGACAGCGCTGGCCCCCGGCCTCTTGAGTGAGATGGGCGCACAACCCTAGAGTCTGTCAAGACTGGCCCGTACGGGCAGGGGTACCTTTACCTTTATTCTGTATCAGCAGAAGTAACAGCTAGAAACACTGAAACCCACGCACATTTGTGTAGCACATTGAAAAAACAAGTTACTTACCTTAACTGATGTTTGGGCACATTTGATAGCATTTGATAGTCCATGGTATCCACAAGTTAATTATTTGAACTTTATAGTCAATTTATTAAGCAATAAAATACTCTAAACAAACTTTTGGGTTTATTCAAATCACACAGACCCTAATTTCCCATTAAAAAAATTCTAGTCCTTAAGTTACAGAGATGCTTGAAACAGTTTAACAAAAAGCTAAAAGGTTGACTTTTAACAGAAATGGCTTAAAAGTCTTCCGAGGTTTGGCATTTCTTCACATTATCAATTGCAGAATGCAAACACTGCATAATTCAACTGCAGCACACCACAACTGTGCCATCATATTTGTGTGAAATAGGCAAGTTTGGATTAAATGCAATTTAAAATTGTGGCCCACAACACTGACCCAATTCCTACCGACATCACAGCCAGAGTGCTTCTAAACTGGGAATCCCAGTTATTCACCTAGATGCCTTGCACGTTGCCTTGTTCTCATTAAATTGTGCGCAAGACCATCAGCAACTCCAACAGCTGCAATGATGTTTCTGCATTTTATTTTATTCTGTACATTCAACAAAAACAGATGTCTTAGCTTATGCAATACCATGAATATATCACAGTGATAAAGGTTATCATCAGAACCAGGGTTTAATCATTTCACCCTTATTTGAATGGCATTTTAAAGCCAATGATGAGTAACATCATCGCAACATACTACATATACTGCATATGTGCATACTGTAAAAATAACGCACTGTAAAGATTTAGGGTGTCGTTTCCCATAGTCACATATGGAAGGCACTCGCTTCAGAGCTAATGACAGTATCAATACATAGTTGGGAAGTCCTCAGAAAGTATTATAAAATGTTACAGAATTCCATGAGGCTATTAAAAAACAAAACGTGCAACTCTAGAAAACATATATACCCATGAGGAGACATGAAGGACAAACAGATCTCTTGAAAGACTTCAACATACTCCAAAAACTGGATAAAGCAAATCTAGACTTTTTTATTTTTTTTAACAATTTGCCAAGACTGGAATGAGAGATAAATAGAAGGCACAACAATTTTGTTTTCGTTTTAATACAAATACAAACTAAACATGAAAAAAACTTCCCTATTTCAATAAAAAAAAAAATCACAAGTTCAGGAACGGTGTTTTAAAGAGTCAAGTTCTAGACATTTAAAACCTATCCCGCAATCCTTGTAAGTGGTAAAACAGTAGTGAGAATTCCTTTTCGTGATCATGTACCAAAAGAGAGCATTCTATTGATACCCTTTATTCCACTTTTACAGCGCCACAGAGAAAGGGTAATGTCAATTTTCAAGCGGCAACATCTCCAGACCAAGGTCCAACAGGTCATGTGACCCCCCCCCCAAAGGGGTGACGGATTTCCCTGCCCTTGAAACGTTTGTCACGTACTAGTTTTTCCTATAGGCTCCTGAACACATGCAGCTGAAAAGGTTAATTCCACTGACTGAAGCGCACCCCATTTCAGTAAGGAGGGGAAAAAAGCGCCACACATTCCATTAGGAAAAACAACGGGTACCCAAAAAAAAAAAATCCAGTCCACATGTCTGCAGCAAGCAAGGATTCAGTTCTTTTCTTTTTTAAAAAAAATCCACTTTTCCCCGAAATATTGTTCCACAAAGCTGGAATCTGGGACAAAGACTAGAAAAAAAATATCACGAAACCAAACACAAACAAAATGGGCCAAAATAGTATCAAACGTAGCAGTCTATAACAGGGTAGGGCCACATTCCAAGATACCCAAGGCTGAAATTCACAAATCTGCAGGAAGAAGGGTTTGTCTCATCATGTCATCCATTAATCACTGGCGTTGCCCGATGCCCCTTCCAGTGCCAAATCCTGGTTTCTGAGACATTCCTCCACGTGGAGGCCCTCGGATCCCACCTCCCAGCCCCCCACGGGGGCCACCAGGCCCACGGGGTCTGTTGTCTCGGCGATCACCCTCCCTGGCTGCTCGCGTTTTTTTCTCTTCCACATTTAAACGCACTTCTCCTCTGAACATGATCGGCTGGAAGAGAAAAAGTGGTAAAGTGGAATCAACAAACAGGTAAGAAAGTACTAAATACGTACAATAATACATTGAAGTGAATTATTGCATGCAACAGACATTGCAGAAAAATAAGATCCTGATCTCCCAAAATCCTATGTCTTTGTTTACTCAGGTTGTGAATTCTTTCAACCTCCCACCCCACCCATATTTGGCAAGGATAGTTTTTAACTGTTGTGTAGGCCATTATTTTTAACTATAACTGCAAATTAATATTGTAATCTAGCCAAGAGCACCAACAGCTTTGTCTATCTATTCCCACTTCAGCTGCCACCCCCAAGTTAAACAAAGAAGCCATTCTAATTAGCTTCTCTTGGTTTTTTGTGTTTGCTTTATTTCCAAACATCAGTTTTTAGTACACCTCAGTATAACCGTTATCACTTAAATATCATTTAATGTACCCTATTGGCAAGGATCTTCTGAACGGGCTCTGGATCGTCAAACACCACAAATCCAAAATTAGGGAGCTTTCCTCCACTGTTGATACGGAGTTCCACAACATTCCCATAACCTGCAAAAGAATTTCCAATTTCTTTGATCACACATTAGACTGTTCTGTAGAAATAGGCATGTACTTTTAGACACAACCCTGAAGCCCCACCACTAGGCAAGCAATATTCAAGACTTACGTTGGAAGAAATCCTTTAGTTCTGCCTTATCCACATCATGAGGGAGATTCCCAACAAACAGCTGGTGACTGTCTGGGTACCTCACAATACGCCTAGTTTCCATGTCACCTGGCTCTCCTTCCCGCACTTAAATTAAAAAAGATAGACATAAATCATTCTTCATCTTTTGCTTTCTATAAACACCATCATAAGCTTTGCCTACTGGAATAATGGCAGAAGTCAATAGACAATAAAGCTTCAAATAAAACACAAGAAATGAGTGACTTGGTGCTCCCATTCAAAAGCCTGTAAGCAGACTGAAGTGTCCACTTTAAGATTAAATTGTGGTACTTCAGATTTTGAAAACATCTGGTTTAATTTATTCCCAAATTCTTTCCAACTCTTACGACATACTCTTATTGTATTTAGTTTAACATCTTTGAGTATCACCACAAGAGTTGACTTTATCTGTTCCAACAGTGAGCACTGCTTTAGTAGCTATATTGTTATTACCAAGTACACCAAATTTCTTACTTGGTCTAGGGCCTCTTTGTGGTGGGATATTTGTCCGTTGTTCTCTCACCCTCTGGTCTCGCTGAGGTCTCTGCGGTGGAGTCTGGGATTCAGGCTTTGATTCAGGACGGGGCTGCAAAAATGTGCCAGCACAAATGTAATGCATCTAAGTCATGGGTAGGCAAACTATGGCCCGGGGGCCAGATTCAGCCCAATTGCCTTCTAAATCCGACCCACAGACGGTCCAGGAATCAGTGTGTTTTTATATAAGTAGAATGTGTCCTTTTGTTTAAAATGCATCTCTGGGTTATTTGTGAGGCATAGGAATTTGTTCATTTATTTATTTTTCAAAATATAGTCCGGCCCCCCACCAAGTTCTGAGGGACAGTGGACTGGCCCCCCTGCTGAAAAAGTTTGCTGACCCCTGATCTAAGTCAAGCTTTGTCAACATCCTCATACCCTAACCATTCTAAACCTGGGAACCCCAAGGAAAAGGAAAAACACAAGTTCAAATGCCAGAATAGAGGAAGATTTATCGGCCCTTTCACTTGAAATCATATGCAAAGCAACGAATTTCAAGAACATTTCCCCTGAAAAGGATGCTTTTGCAGAGAAAAACAAAAAACGAGCATGTCCTAAAAAGTAAAAATAATGCTCTACTTCTTGAAATACTATCGATTTGCAATTAACCTGACAGTTGTTGATCCTGGTTCAAGTTCATTAGTTGGCTGGTATATTTTTACCTGTGATGCAGGCAATTTGACAACGTGAGGTGGTATGCCCGATACTGGAACAGCTCCACTAGGTGGGAGATTCTTACTGGTTACAGATGCCCATGAAGATGTCTAACAGGAACAAACAAGATTTCATTATTTCTGAGTAACACCAGGTATCTGTGCTCTTCAAAATTACAAAGTTTCTTGGACATGTACAAATTTTGACATCTTTCTTCAAATAATTCTACAGCCACAAATGTTTATGTTAGAGACAGCATGTGGGCAGACTGCACCTTACTTAGAGGCTTTCGGTAGATTTTGCTGTGACTGCCAAAACTGCAAACCCCCCCCATCAAATTCATGCCACCAAATTTAGTTGTGCTCCTCACTTGCATGGCAGGCTGAGGGGAGCACTGCTTTCACGGGATGGCTCTCCCTGCATGCCTTTCTACCTTCGGAAACTGCACTTTTCTAAGCCCGAAAGGGTGTTTGGTGGCCCGGGGGAGTGTGATTATATCCATGAGGGATATCCCTGATGTGTTTCTATCCTTGGAAACCACACTCCCCCAGCCATACTGTTTAGCATGCTAAGGAAAACCCCATATCCGTGGGTAGCTGGAGCACAAAGACCCCCAAAAGCCCACAGCCTGTGGCTACTAGAAGAAAAAAAGATTGCCCATTCATTTTTATGTCTTTAAAACATTTATAAACTGAACTCACACAAAAATATATTAGAAATGTACAAAAATAAAATCAAGAAAACAGAAAGGCTATTTATAGAGAGCCTTTATATAAATAGTATTTAATCCTTGGAAATTAAGGTTCCTTTCAATATCTGGAATGCAAGCTTAAGGTGTGCCTTACAAACTGTCCTAAAGGTCTAACAAATGGCTAAACCTACACAATTTATGAATGGCTGCTATTGTCAGGCTCTTTTTGCCAGCAAGATACCCAATAGACAAAGAGTATTCTTCCAGATACTACTTAGAGCAGTTATGGGGAACAAAAATAGAGAGGTTTTTTGGACTTATACAATTCTTATGCTACAATGTGATATAGGGAATGCTGTAAAGACTGAAGCTCTACAACTTGGCAACTACAGTACAGTCCGAACAATTGCCTTCTTGTTATCAAGATAGCGGCCACTGACTTTCTGCTAAGATGCAACTGCCTTTTCTTCAACCAAATGTGAGTACACAGGAATTATCTTGAACATCTTGACAGCTCTTGTAATCTTTCTCACTTCAAACTTAAAAATACACACGAGTGAATGTGAAAGGGGATATCATTAAAATCATGCATGTTACCCTTGAGTCTTCTTGCACTACAGGAGCAGGGTCCACAGGGACTGGAGAAGGACTCTTCTCTACAGTCTCTTCAGGTGCTGCTTCCTCCAGCGCTGGCTCAGCTTTCTCTTCCTGAGCCTCTGGTTCAGGCTCCTGTTCAGGTTCAGGTTCAACTTCTTGCTCCGGCTCTGCAACTGGTTCCTCCAAATGTTCCTCCAAGTCATTGCTGTTGGTGGAAAAATATTTTCATTATGGTAACAATGCATTTGCAGAGCTCAAGCACCAGGACCATAAATGGAATCCCAATATTGTGCTATTTCAGTACCAGGGTTACAAACAAACATCCATCCAATCTGAACCCTCATGCAACAATGCTTTGTTAAGTCAGCAATGTTCCCTTTTTAATCAGTATGGATTATACTCATTCATGTCCTCTCTCTCTCACACACACACACTCCCCTAGAAATCTGAACTTCAATGCTCCCATCTCAGTAAATTTTAAGAAAGGCCTGGTGGACTTTTAGTTATGCAAAAAGACTGCATCATTGTTGAGTATATTGATGGACACTTGTTAGAACAACAGTCTTGAGATCAGGCCCTAAAAATTTTTTTTTGCAGTAAAGTCAGCACTGATTCTGGAGGAGACCATTATAAATTAGTATTCTACAGAATACAGGGTCTCCTTCCTACATTTCAGCCAGCAGTTATAGGCAAACTGGTTAGAAGCAGTGGCATAGTTATGATTGCAACCGTGTCTGAGTTACCTGACAGACTGCTCATAGTAGGCTGCTGAATCATCAGCAACTGCCTCAGGAGTCTGTTGCCTATCCTCAGGTTCCTCTGCTTCCTCCTCAGATTCTGGTGAGGTAAAAAAAAAAAAAATTTTTTTTACACCGATCAAGTACAGGACAAATTTCCATATTGCAGTCAGAATGTACACACAGCGGCTGCATTCTCATGTTATAGTAAGCCGTGCTAATGGTTGACCATGAACATGCAAACTGCTTCTATCTCGCTCCTCTTCACTAGCAAACAGGACATCACTAGCACACCACAATGCTTACGTTCATGTTTTGTCAAAAGTGGAGACTGTTGCTTGTTTCAATCAAACGAATTATGACTGCTAAGCCAAGAACAAACCTTGGCTTCAGATTGGGTTTGGAGTGAAACAAACCGCAGCCCCCCAATCTGGACATTAACACTAGGCCAAGAATTTTGATTCGTTGCTCCTGCTCGCTAGCAAGGAGTATAGGAGAGACAAACTCTGCATTCCTGGTCAGCCACTTGCAAATATACTCAGTGTTTTACATATTAGGCATGGGGAAATTTGATTTTTGTTAGCTGAAATATCCCCTTACTTTGACATTATTTTAATTAAATATTTAAGATTTATAGCCTGCCCCCCTCCAACAATGCTAATACCAGGCCAGAGTACGCAAAACAGAGTACGCAACCAAATATATACATAACAAACAGTAGAATGCTAATAATCTAGTTGTTCACATCATTGCACAAACAGCTGATCAATGCTCATCACATACCGTATTTTTCGCTCTATAACACGCAGATTTTTTCTCCTAAAAAGGAAGGGGAAATGTCTGTGCGTGTTATGCAGCGAATGTGTGGTCCCTGGAGCCGAAAAATGAGGCAAAAATCAAACCGCGCTTCAGGGAGAAGGGAGCTCCGTGAGAGAGGAAGCTGTTGCTTTCCTGCATTCTGCCTCAGGGTCTTACTGCCCACCCTGCTCTGTTTCGTTGCTGTGTTTGCTCAAACGGAACAAAGAGCAGGGAAAGCCCCTCCCCTCCAGGCAAGAAGAGAGGAGAGCAGAGCGTCTTTCTAATTCCTCTCCCTGCTCCGGAGGGAACAATGTTTGTGAAGGGAAGAGAGATTACAGGTTCGGCTTAAAATTCTGATTTGACTTCCTGCTTTTTGTTTTTGGAGACACACAGCATTCAAATATGCTTTCTTCCATTTAAAAGGATGAAATCCTTAAACAGTGTTTTGCCTGTAAATTCATGCGATCTGGAAGATTACAGTGTTTGTACCTCTTAAGGGATGGCAAAGCTTAGGTTTCGCTGCTAAATAGTTCTTAATGCAGTTAAAATGCTTTCTTCTGTCATGCTGGTGGGAGGAAGAGGGAGAGGGAGAGAGAGAGAGAGAGAGAGAGAGAGAGAGAGAGAGAGAGAGAGAGCGCACGCTGGCTGGCTTGTGTGGGTGGGTGGGGGGAAACTTTTGCCTTCCTTTCCTCACGTTATAGCCCTCTCCTGCATTCTTAGCCTTCTGTGTTTTTCCTTCCCTCCCCACTTAAAATGTGGTTAAAAAGTATGGGTCCACATGGATCCTCAGGATCTTTGCATTGGGTCACCCCAAATTCACCATCAGAGCACACAGCATGTCCATGGCTACAGCCTGCCCCCCCAAAATCACACACCCATTGTTGCCTGGGGCTGCAATGGTGCAAAAACGTGGTTACAAAGCATGGATCCACATGGATCCTCAGGATCTTTGCATTGGGTCAGCCAAAATTCACCATCAGAGCACATAGCATGTCCATGGCTACAGCCTGTCCCCCCCCAAAAAAAATCACGCACCCACTGTTGCCTGGGGCTGCAATGGTGCAAAAACGTGGTTACAAAGCATGGATCCACAGGGATTCTCAGGATTTTTGCATTGGGTCACCCCAAATTCACCATCAGATCACATGTCTGTGGCCACAGCATGAAGCACAAAAATGATACGTCCACTGTTTCATTCAGAATATTTTTTCCCTTGTTTTCCTCCTCTAAAAACGATGTGCGTGTTATGGTCAGGTGCGTGTTATAGAGCGAAAAATACGGTATTTCATAGGCATGGTTTTGACTTAAGCTTCTAAACTTCAAGTAAGTACAAAGCACAGGGTTACAAAAGGTATGAATGACAGCTGCTAAAGTTAAGAGCTGGTTTTAGCCCCTTAACCAGCAAATCTGCTTCTATGTCTTGGCATGGCAATTACAGGAGATTGAAATGCTGAAGAGAGTAGTGAATCCCAGTAGTAAACCTAAACCATCACCAGCAAAGGCCATACCTCCAGTGACATGTTCACTATTTTTTCTTCTGTTTTGCCATACTACTTAACAGTCTCTTCATATACAGCTCACACCAGGAGCCATCTTAGATAAGGCGAGTGACAGTTTATGGATGGGATTGAAATGACATAAAAATGGCAGTGAAACTTCTCAAGACTGGTCTTCATCAGTTATTGACCAAGATCAAATTCCTACATTTGGTAACTTTAAAAACTCTTATATAGATGTAAATAAAATTTGGCTGGCTCAAGTTTTAGCACTAAGTTTTACTGTTGCTATTAAGGTTTTAGCATGTTCTGATGTCTGGGGAAAAGGTGGGATATAAATATATTAATAATACTAAGTTTATTATTTGTAAGCAACTTGAATTTGACTGGGCAAATCGTGTTATCATTTTTTCATCACAGAGAACTAATTTAGGAGGAAAACACATTGACAGTCTTGGTACTTACCCTCTGGAGGTTCAGCATCTAAATCACCAAAAACTTCATCCTGGTAACGGAATATGTCATTATGGACATAAAACTTGTTCGCAACAGAACCCTGAAGACAACACAAGGAGAAAAGGACATTTAGTCTACTGCATTCAGTACCAGTGTACTATGAACACGGTGTTCATGTTTAATCTGGCAGCACAAACCCACTTTGCTTATGTTTGAAACAATCTAACCCTGCTTTACCTACTTGCACTATGCTACAAATATAGAGGGACACTTCAATTGTTACATAAACATTACTTCCTGAACCATATCAGAAGTACGCTCTACTCAACTAAAAAGCATTCATTCAAAGTGTCAATGATCAGAAGAAAGCTAAAAAAGAGTTTTTAAAAACAAAAACATAATAGCTTTTAATGCATAATTTATTTATTATGATTTACTAAATTTATATACATCATGATAAAGGATTATCATGGAAGCAGAGATTTTTAGTAACTAACACAGCCAACTAAACAGTGAGACGTCAGGATTAAGACAATGAGTCTACCAAAGCCAGCAAAATTTAAGGAGCCGTCACACTCAGACATTTAGAGATTTCTTATTTATAAATTACTGGAACCAGGCCTTATGACAAATAGTGCTTTTCAGTCATGAATGCTGATAATTATCCCTTTGTCTATGGTATGCAACAAGAACAGAAAAAAGACTTAACACATACACAAATGCTAGGCTTATTCTGGCAGAGCCACATATCCAAACACAAGTGCATCACAGTTGTTAATGACTCTAAAGTAAAGAAGTTCTGCAGCCATTGACAGAGGGGAGCCAACTGAACCTTCCTGGCATCCCCAATCCCACTGCACTGATATAAAGTCACACACTGATGTTGGGCATACTGGTTCACAGACTAAGATTCCCACAGGCTACATACCTCAGGAGCAAGGACAAAAGTCTGCATGAATCTCCGCATTGGCTGTGTGTTATTGGAGAGCTCACCCATGACCTGTACAACAACACCATCATTCAGAGTAGCATGAGCGTCCACGTGGTGGATCTTCGTGCGGCAATCCTTAAAATTCAGTGACAAGACCTTCTTGTGGATATCCTACATAAATCATATTGAAATATGTATGAGCTACTTTAAGGATTCAAGCAGAGATGAACTAGAAGTGTCATGAGTTTAGTACTACAAAGCAAAGAATTTAAAAAAACCAAAAACCTGAAACATTAATAGGCCCAGACTACCTGCAGTCTGACTTAACTGAAGTCTTGCCTTTCTCACAACAGTCTTCTATTTTATGAAAACTTTCTTCATTTAAAAAGGGACTTAATAATTAAGAACATAAGAAGAGCCTGCTAGATCAGGCCAATGGCCCGTGTACACTAGCATCCTGTTCTCACAGTGGCCAAACAGGAAGCGGAGCATAGCCATCATGGCTAAAAGCCATTGACAGACCTCTCTTTTAGGTCTAATCCTCTTTTAAAGCCATCCAAGTAGGTGGCTATCATCGGCTTCTGTACCAGCGAGTCCCATAGTTTAACTATGCACTGCATGAAGCAGTACTTTCTTTTATCTGCCCTGACTCTTTCAACATTCAGCTTCATTAAATGTCCTCAAGTTCTAGCGTTATGAAGAAGAAAAAAACTTTTCTCTATCGACTTTCTCCATGCCGCATCACTCCTTACTCGCATTTTCTCTAAACTAAGAAGTCCCAAAAGCTTCAACCTTCCTTCACAGGGAAGTTGCTCCATCCCCTTGATCATTTTGGTTGCCCTCTTCTGAATCTTTTCCAACCCTACAATATTCTTTTTGAGGTGGGGTGACACAGCATTCCAAATGTAGTTGTACCATAGATTTGTATCATGGCATTATGCTACTGGCAGTTTTACTTTCAATTCCTTTTCTGATTGTACCTAGCATGGAATTTGCCTTTTTCACAGCCACTGCACACTGGGTCGACATCTTCATCGAACTATCTACGATGACCTCCCATTGTATGACTGCTAAGCTTACTCATGAGTCTTTGGTAAGGTACCTCATCCAAAGCTTTTTGAAAGTCATAGTGCACAATAACAACTGGATCACCTCTATAAGTTTGTTGACACTCTCAGAGAACTCTAATAGGTTCATGAGACAGGACCTGCTGTTGCAGAAGCCATGCTGTCTCCCACTTCAGCAAGGTTTGTACTTCTATATGCTTGATTATCCTATCTGCAACAAAACTTTCCACCAATTTTCCTGGGGCACATATTAAGCTAACCAACATATACATTCCAGCATCCATTCTTAAAGACTCATGCCACCTTACCTGAAAATACATGACCCATAGAAATCTAGCAAATATCTACTTCAATCGAAGTCCATTCACTGAATACCTAAGGACTAAGAATTCACATAGCTGGCACAGAAATCTGATGCTAGTTTCCCACCTCCTCAAATTCTACTTTCTAATTTGAAGGTGTTTTCCCTCACTTTGCACTGCATCTTGACTGTGCCTCAGTCAATCATAAAACGATTTTGCAAATGCTTACAGACTGCCCGTGGACTGCATCAGCTGGTTTTCCATTCGAATCCAAGCCACCGTGGACATAAGAAGAATTCTTTCCATAGAACCTGTGAAAGAGCAATTTACATCCATTTCATCAATGTACAATTCCATCACATGGTCCTTTGCAGCACTAAAATGTTAGCCATATTGTTGACTTTAGGCGTAAGCAATCTTTTGTTTCAATGTGGGCTGATGGAAGTTATCAAACCAGTTTCTGCAGCTGCTCGTTTTCAATAACAAGTCTTTTAACTGTCTGTCTCCAAGGAACACAATCCCAACTTTATCATGATTACCTGACCACCACTGGTAACTAGAAGTTCCCTGCAGGTAACAATCTACATACTGGTGGCACTCAGCTCCCAATCACTACGGGTGACCTTGTTCCCCAGTGCCATAATACTGATGTTAAAAAGCATGGGGGACAAGATGAAACCCTGCAGTATATACTACAGTCAACTGCTAAGGAGTTGAGTAGCAGTCCTCTGATGCCTCTTCTCTGGTAAAGGTCATCAGCCTGTGCCTTAAGGCTCTTTCAGTTCTGATTTTAGGCCCAAAGCCAGATTGAAATGAGGTCAGATAATCCTTTTCCTCCAAGCACATCTGAAGCTGACCACCACTCAACAACCTTGCCCACCTACCCCACATGGTTTTCTCAATGTATAGTTCCATGCAAGTGTCTATAGTTCGCATAGTCACTTAGGCTTCCATCCACTGCAGCATTGCAAAACAATGCGTTTGATAACAAATGGACTTGCTGTGCCCTGTTGGCTGTTGTTCTGGAGTAAGGTTCCATGTGATTGTGAAGCACCATGGCAACAATGAGCTATCATGACTTGCTTATTGAATTGTATTGTTTTGTTTAATTTGTTGCTGTTGTTTGCTTTATTTATAAGCTATTGCGTTTGATATTATAAGGAATGCAATGTTTGGAGTTTTTAAAAATGTTATTGTGATTAATGTGAGCCACTTTGAGCTCAACATTTGTTGTTGGAAAAGTGGAATACAAATATTAAATCAAATAAAAAACCAGGTTTTCACAGATTGCTAAATTTGCCTTATTTTGTTAAACAGTCCTTTCGCATTAGAAGCCCCTTGCTGTTTGGATAAGAGCTCTACTGTATGTAGAAAAGAGCTCTGCTTTTTGTGTAGTTCACTGTTCAATAAATTAAGATGATGCAGTCCACATATTGCCTGTAGCCTGATGTGGTCTTCGCAAGGAACTCTCATCTCAGGCATAGGCAAACTCGGACCTCCAGATGTTTTGGGACTACAACTCCCATCATCCCTGACCACTGGTCCTGTTAGCTAGGGATGATAGTTGTCCCAAAACATCTGGAAGGCCGAGTTTGCCTATGTATGTCTTATCACCTTATATTTGCATTTTATTTGCCCGGAGGCTGGGTTATAGGGGAAGATGAGACTGAGGTTTTGCTGATCCTCCAGAAGCTACAACTTCCATGGAAGAAACCAACCTGAAAACTACTTTTGTATGGAGTTTTATTATTACTATTTTAGGGCAATGCAAGAATAGTGAGTGACGAGAAGAATGTTAAAACTCCGAAGATTATAGGCACTATCCAACTAAATCATATTCAGAGAAGACTCAATGAGATCAATAGGCTCAAGACCAGTGATTTCAAGGAGTCTTCTCTGAATATTACTAACACTGAATATCAACTTATTACTTCACAGTGGTGATAGAAGAGGGAATCTGGTCCTGGAGCATATACAACTCTGGCTCAAATTTAAACTGCGGGGAGGACAGAGAATGGAAGAGATGTAGAAGTTTATCTGCAAACTCTACATTGCACCCATAATTTTTGTTTTGCTTTTGGCAAATTAAACTTGTGAAGAGGAGCCAGTATTTCTGTACAACAGTGCCCCTGATTCTGAAATATTATTTTAATTAATTCAAATAGGAGACTTTACCTGTGCAAGAAGTCTGGTGCTTGGTTCAGCAGAATATAATACTGTCTTACGAACTCCCGCCCAACCAGCAGGGGACTTGGCTTCTCCATCACCATTTCTTTGGTCAACTGAAAACTGAAGACCAAAACATTTGTGAAAATATATCCAATACCCATCCTTGCCGAGGAAAGCTTATATAAACTATAACCAATTTCTCACACAGTTGCCAATTTACTGCACACACGGCTAAATTTCTTGAAATATTTCAATGGTAGGGAAAAGAAGACAATAATCCAAATATAGCTTCTTGAAGTGATTATATATATAAAAAAACAAGTGCCCAAAATTTCAAGTATAGCAGCAGAAAATTGGTGGCAAGCAAGTAAATCTTCTTGTAGAATTTAAGAGGCTATATATGGCTGCACTAATTCCCATTAACCTTGTCTGACTTCAGTAGCTGAACTGAAAGGCTTCAAGAAAAGGTGCAATGACCTTTAAGTTCACATACAGTAAGTCATCTAAGCAATAAGCTGGGACATGATACCTCTTATCTAGGAACCCAATTTTTTACTTGATTGGCTCTCCACCCACCCATTTTGCCAAACTCTTCGCGTGCACGCACACCTCACAAACAACCCCCCACAAGAAAACAGTGGAGTCCAGAGCAGAGTAGGGTAAGGTGCACAAAAAGGTTTCTGCAGTAGCAAAATTTGGGCACCATCATTCCTTCACCCACCTTTCAGTAAGCTGGATTATTATTTTTTGTACACAAACAATGCTCTTCACTTGAAAACACATTATTTTATAGGAATGATCATTCCCCTCCATAACAGTACATCTGTTAAAGTCAACTATTCAATTGTTTTCCATTGAAAAACAGCCACTTCACAATACAGTACACATTTCCTAATGCATAAATTTGAATCCTATGCTCTTTCAGCTCGTGTGTAGTATGAACGCAGAGGGAAACTTAATCACTCACTAGCCCATCCCACTGCACATCCATAAGAAGCCTAGCACGGGCAAATGTATTCCTGCAGACCATGTTCTTATCTTCATCCAGCACAGAGGGAACCTGACTAGCCAAAAGTGAGAAACAGGGCTTTCCTTTGTCAGGAGTAGGATGGGTCTTTAAAAGCTGAACTGCCATTGGAGCTTTGTCCTTATTCTTGTTGACCGAACTGGAAAGACAATAATGCATTCACCTTCATGATCATGGTATTTGGCTGCAGGAGTTGCCAGAAGGAGGTGTACAAGGTGCCATACAACAGTCTTAAGGACCCCACTCTGTATTTGCGTAGGGTTTGCTCCTTAGCCTTTTCTTCTCCCAAAGACAAGGCAGCTGCTGTTTAGGATCGGTGTTTCCCTTCTCCTAGATGGGCTACCTTCCCAGGTTGACAAGCCCCATCTGTCCCTCACTTCCCTGTACACCAAATGCAGGAACCGCCTTCTTGACAGAGGGACACACTATTTGTCTCATCCACCCAATCTGCCACAACCTGTATTTGCATGCATAGCTGAGTGCATTGTGGGGACCAAAAGTTGACGAACTACTCCGAAGGAGCAGTGTCCCCCACCAGAGGTACTACCCCCTCCCCTAACATCCCATACACCAGTAAAACAATTGAATACCAGTAAACAATTAAAGTTGATGTTTTATTGTCTTATGGCTGTATTAGGAAAAACCCTGTGATCCTATTTGGATACAAATCTAAAAGTGATACAGTCTAAAAGTGGGGGGGGGGGAGACTGTCTAAAATAAAATGAAGATTGAACCTTTATCTCAGCTACCAGCTAAGCAATATATCATAAACTTGGGGGAAAGAGTGGATATAAATACATCAAATAAATAGATAATATCACACACAGATGTTGTAGGAAGAGTCAGAGTGGCCTAGTAGACAAGGCCTTAAATTTGGGGCCCCCTTCCATGTTCCAAGAAATAGAAACATATTGGTGGTCTTAGAAAACTACAAGTCTGAGTTTTAAAAATGGAAACAATCATCTACCACACTGAGTTATCACAAGGAGTATAAGTGCTCTACAAAGGTCTGGCTACATCAAGCATCAGCACATTTGAGAAAAGCCAGCAGTTAGTTTTATGTTTACACTATGAAAGAGTTTTGATGTATAGTGAAGTTAACCGTAATGCTTGCCTGTGGCTGTTGAATTTTTCTAATATTAAACAGTAACATAAATGAGAACTCTTAAATATAGGTTGGTCATGACTGAGCATTATATGGTTTGAATTTTCATTGTTGCTTAATTTAAACAAACAACAACAACAAAAGAAAGAAAGAAAGAAAGAAAGAAAGAAAGAAAGAAAGAAAGAAAGAAAGAAAGAAAGAAAGAAAGATCTTTGGAGGGCAATAAAGAACTAGGTTTTCTAAAAAAAATTAAGACACATCAGGTGGTATCCAACTAAACAGTTCTGCTAGTGCAACCAACAAAACAGAACTTCTCTTCATCTCCTTTCCCCATGCACTCCCTAGATCTGCTCCTGAGGATTGGGGAACCCCAGAACAAATTTAGTGGCAGCAGGGGGGGGGGGAGTCTTGTAGCACAGCCAAAATTGCCTACACTACCATAACTGTTTAGTTGGCTACCACCCAGTCATTTAATGCAGTCACTAAGAAAGATCACCAGATGACTTAGATAAGTTGGTCTGTACTAAGGGTTACTTTTTAAACCTGAACTGCTTGATCTACCCCCTTAGTTTAAATCTGCAATAGGCTAACATGGCATTGAGAAAAATGTATGTTTAAGATGGTTCATACCTGCTTTCAAATTTACATCAAACTTTAGTGCATGAACAGTTATGTATCATTCAACCCCTATTTTTAATGACTTATCTGAAAACAGGCCATAACCCCCAGTGCTTAAATTACTAATATGCCAACATTTACATTCCCAAGCACACTGAATTTTGACATCTGTCAGACTTGACACACATTTGTTTAGAGCTGCTTCCAGAGAGATGGCTCCTAAAATTAATAATCAACCTTTCTTTCAGTGTAAGATGCAAGTGGAATTGCAATTGGTTTTCCATGCTATTAGGGATATTGCACTTCTATATGTTCTGTTCACACTAGTGGGAGTGACATAACTGCTATAGATGGGAAGAATGTCCAGTTCACCTGAGCAGCCACCTGAAGCTCAGCACATCTTCACTATGTGTACAATTTTATCACCCAGCCTTTTAAATTGACCTTTAATCAGCATCAAGACTTTTCTGATATATTTTCTCCCCAAAAGTAACATATTGTTGAAATGTAAATTAAAAATGAAACCACAAGAAGGCATTAGTTTTGCAGCACATATTAGTCTGTGCACATAGTAGCAGCATAACAAAGGTCTGTGACCGATAGAGCAGAGCATGTAATTTACTTCCAATACATTACTCAACACTTTTACACAGCAGTCCAAGGCATGCTGGTTGTTGTGGTGGTGGTGGGTGGGAGGGGGGGAATTTTTTCCAAGATAAAATATTGCAGTCTGACTACTGCAGTGCAATCAGAATATTAAGTCTTCCGAATTTCTGGATTTTTCAATGGCCTGGTCTCGTCTTTACAAAGCAGTCAATACGTGTGTTAAGTTTCCCTTGTGTTGAAGAAGAGTTATCCAGGTTTGGTGACTGTTTAATGTTTTTATGTCTGGAATTATTAACACAAGCAACTCAGAATTGTGGAAAACTAATATAATCTCTTGCAGCAAGGAAATTACACCTACACAAAAACACATTTAAAGGGAAGGGCACGCTTTTAAAGAAAAGCACATGCTTTCATGAAATACAGTAGGTTCTTGGTTCAATACCTGAATCTCCAGCTTGGGAAGGAATCCCATGAATGGGCCAATGGGATGGACAAATCATCTGACTCAATTAAGTTAATTTCCTATGTACCTACTATGATTCCCAACTATAAAGAGCCACAAATAAAAGCAGAGTAAGAAAAATGTTTATTGCTGTACGTGGCTTCACAAAACAGTGGCAAATATCAAGCTCAGCCTATCCACTGACACCCTAATGCAAATTATTCTTGTATCCCCAGTCCCCATTGCACGTCTGCCAAAGACACCTTACAAAGACTCTTTTTCCAGGCTAAAAGAGGTCCAGCCATTTAAGCCCTTCCTATTATAGACTGAGGAAGGGGAATCATGTGATCAAAGCTGCTATATTTGAGCTCATCTCCTTAAAGGGAGATGAGAAAAGTCTACAACTCTTCTTGTACAGTATAGCCATTTTATACCCAAATTACCCTACTACAAACTCAACAAAAAACCCTGGAAGCATTCACTTGTTTCACAGCTGCATTTCATTTCAGTCATGTTGCAAGCCGAGAAATATCCAAGAATCCTTTATTTCTGTCACCTATTAATGAATGAATCAGCTGGAAGCTATAGAGGGTTCTTATGACCATAAACACTTTGTACGATTAAATTTCACCCTACATGTAAGTTCCAGAATAGGGCTGGGCGATATCTGGTTTTCCACATTGTGATGTATAACCAGCTAAACATCACAATATACTGAAATATCACAATGCCTGAAATAAGGATGGAGCTGTGTAGTCATTGGCTGGCTTTATGGGTTTTGCATTTGATTTTTGCATAGTGCGCGCACGCACACACAAGCACATTAAGGCTAGGCAACGTATCAATACATAGTCAAAAAATCGGTTTAAAGTCCACATTATGGTAACAGTTTCATAATATTCAACATAGTGATATATCGTGAATCATGATGTGTGTGCTATGTAAAAAAAAATTGTGATGTGGGAAAAACCGTGAAGCCAATCACTGCTTCTCTCATGATTCCTGTCGCTTTGTACTATATAATAACAGTTGTAACAATGTTACAGGTAAGTAAAAATGTATCAGTTTTAGACTCCTAAACAGTAACAGTTGTCAGGACATTACCTCGTGCACCTCTACAAAGTTAGAGCCTTATTTCAGACATAATATATCTGAAACGTGATATATCAGTATATTACAATAAGGCTGGTGATATTTCACAATGCTGAAAGCAATACATTGTTCAGCCCTAACACACATCATGATTCATGATATGCCAGGTCAAAAATTATGAAACTGATATCATATGGACTTCAAACTGGTTTTGGATATATCAGCATATT